CCATCAGCAGTGAAAGAAGACAACAGTGGAGAGCCATGGTGGCACAGTGGTTAGAATGTAGTATTGCAGGCTAATTGTGCTGACTGCCAGCAATTTGATTCTTAGAGGCTCAAGGTTGACCCAGTCTTCCATCCTTCTGAGGTCGGAAAAATGAGGACCCGGATTGTTGGGAGCAACGTGCTGCCTTTGTAAACCACTTAGGACTGTAAAGCTCTGTGAACTGGTATATAAATCTAAGTGCTATTACTATCACCTGGGGGGATGGGGGGTGGCGCGCAGGGCAGCAGTGGCCTTGGAGTGCAGGTAGTAAGGGTGACTGGGATTGGTCTGGGGTAGCGGTGGCTTTCTGGAGCATAGTAAGCAGCCCAGAGTCAGGCGGTTTGGGGGCTGCTTGCCCATCTCACAAGGCATGGTGCAGGACAGCCACAGGACAGTGATGGGTTGGGGTGGGGAGATAGGCAAATGGTGGAGTTGGAGGCATTTCCTTACCTACTGAGCCTTGAGACTGGGACAGACCAAGCCTGAAATGGAGAGGATTGGGCTGGGTGCTCAGCTAATGACCAATAACATTTGCTTAACAACAGCAATGGCATTTCCTGAGATTGCAGTCGCTAAGCGATGCAGTCACGCAACATCTTGCTTTACAGCTGCATTGCTTAGCAATTGAAATTCAGGTCCCAACTGTGGGCATAACTTGAGGACTGTCTGTACCTACTGTTAAGTTATCAGAATAAAATCTGTTTATAGTTTGAATGGTTGCTTGAAGGTAGCAAAGATGAGGTAGCATTTACAACAAGGAGAAATAAATTGGAGCACCTTGGAGAGAAAGAGAGAAAGATATGTTTGACAGCAGATATGTTTGACAATGACGTGGCTATAGCTTGTTGGGCAGAAATATGGGTTCAGTATGTTTGGACTACAGGGAAACTTAATTTTGGGGCCATATTGAGCATCATTTGTTTCCCCCGCCCCCAATAGTGTTTATTTATTGCAAGACATAGACATAATTGTTTCTGAGGTTTTGCTCCCAGACATGCCAAATCGCTTGGCCAATTTTATATGCTGTGCGTCTTGATATGGCTGGATAAGGAGCCCCATTTACTAATCTGCTTCAGGAAGCAGCACCTCCGAACCCTTTCTAGGAATCCTTGCATGAAGAGCATGAACTCTGACATATAAGAAATATTATACCCAATATTGCTCTCCAACACTTTGAATTGAAAGGTAAAAAGAGATTTTGGTACCCCTGGGGATGCTCAGGTAGCACTTCCCTAGAGCTCAAAGTAGCAGTGGCGGCAGTTTTTCCTGGGTTACACAGCCACCTTCTGCCCCACTATCCCAAGAAAAAGCACATTTTCCTTCAAGAGCTGCAAATAGGCTATATGCCTGCGGTGGTTCCCCCCACTTGGAAAGACAGCTTTGCCTTCAAATTTGAAGCCCCATAGAGCTCTAGAAAGCCACTTCGGTGAGGTTGGAGCAAGCACTTGGCTAGAAACTGGTAGTTGGTGAATTCTCGTCCCATCTAAAGCACGGAGTCACTTGAATGACCTTATACTAGTCACGATGCAATTGTGAGCCATTTCCAAAAAACTGTGTCAACAAAATTTGTCTAGGCAGTTGCCAGGAGTCAAAAGATGACTCAAAGGCATGCACATATGCACAACACCAACACACAGTCCCAGACCAGTGGTGGGTTCCAGATCCTGTTGCAACCAGTACAGCGCAACGGGGCCCAGCCACCACATGCACCACATACACGCTCCAGCTGTTCGACAGAGCGTTGCAGAGGCGCTGTATGCTCCGTGTGCGTGCGCGAAAGCCCCAATCGGCTCAAATACAGGTAAGGAGGGCGGGTGGGCCCTCCGGAGCACCATACCAGAACGGTACCTGGTGCTCCTAGCAGGCACTAGTACACCCATACCAGGGCATACTAGTCGTATCCCACAGACAGACAGACATACACAGAACTCCTTAATAAGTCTAAACCAAGAAGTATCAGAAGTTCTCTCTGCAGATTACATCAGATTCTTAACAAAGGAAATACACACTAACAGGGTAAATGTTTGTGTGGATTGTGGATTAGGCTGGAGTTCTTTTATGTTTCCAGAAAGAAATCCAGAGCCAGTTATACAATGGGTCAGAAACAGAGGTCATCTTAAAAAAAAATACATGAAATAAATGTTACTGCTTGTGCACTATTTGCCAATCATCTCTCTGCCAAAGTAATGCTTTTTCCCCAGAGGAAAAGGCCCAAGCACATAAAATGAACAAAAAATAAACACAGGAAGAAAATTCTTTAGTTTCCATGGAAACAGACTGGAAGACAGCATCTCTATTTTGCCTGTATTACTGCCCTCTCTTGCTTTTTCCTCGATTTCCTTAATCCTTAAAACTAAATTAGTGAA